TTGATTGATACTTTGTTTTTTCATGTTCTGATGTTCATCGTTTCACGACTCGACTTTCATCCCTCAAACTGATGTAGATTTTCCGTATAGTTCTATACGTGCTATCGCCAACTTACATTAATAGTAGTACGTTTATTTCCCTGTCGAATAGCAATTTTGAAGTGATTAAGCTGGTCGTGTGATGTTTATACATTTCTTATGCAATATGAGGTATTTTTGATCCTCTGATATGATTCGATAGTCTGACAGTGATATTATTATTTCACTTTACAAGCACTTTATACTTCTTAGATCGTGAATAAATTTGTTATAAGATAATGCTTTCAAATAAAAGAAATTCGTAGCCTCGTGATGTCGATGAATATCGAAGAGATTAACAGAGCAAAACTTTATTTATAAACCACTCAGTCAACAACGCAGAACGTACATTAGTTCAAGTTGCCATACCACATTAGCACAGAAACAATTGTCCATTCAAATCCCATGTCCCCAAACGCCCTGGTATGGCCGAGAAAAGGGTGGGTTCGCCCTCCCTCTCGAAAAACTCTCACACGGCCACGCGTATACAGCCTCTGCCAGGGAAGTCCTACTCACTGCCTTCTCGTGGCGGGGTTATTGTGTACGAAGAGGAGAGGACGAAATGCGAATGTCCGACGCTTTAACCGGAGCCCAAACCAATGGTGCACATGGGCTCCAGGATCCTGAAGGAACAAATGGCGTATGAACCAACTGTTGGTCACCGGCTTCCATGGGACTGCATCTCCTCACGATGCTCCACTGCCTTGTGTGTTAAACATTTAGGTCGAAGGCTCGGGGTGTGGCCCCCTAAGAAAACTACCTGCTTCGGTCTGGGCACCCGGGCAGTATCTCAGCCTACACACAAATATAGTGATAACGAAAATGATGATATTCACTGAAAACTATTCTCGTTGCGATTTACTGTCAAACAATTCACATTATTATTATTATTATTATTATTATTATTATTATTATTATTATTATTATTATTTACCACGTCATTTATTCACTCTCTCTTATTCCCACTTTATGTATCCGTTTCGACTCAGACAGCAGCTCGCCTATGGTAAAAATTCAGCTCTATCTAAACGTTTTCGAGTCACTGCCTGGTTGAAAATTGTATGTTACCACCGAATACGAGTACTGAAGCAGTTTTTCTGAAACCACGTGCACCAATCAAACTGGCTGCCTTCAACGTTCGCACACTTATGCAGGTCGGACAACAGATAGGGCTGGCTACGTCTTTGGAAAGTCTTAATATTGACGAGTGTTGTCTATCCGAGACCCGCATTCAAGACTCTGGTGAAGTACTACAAATTCGCTCTCCATCTGTTACTTCAAAAAGCTTGTTTTACGTGAGTTTATCCGGCGACACTGTGGCGTCTTCGTCTGGTCTTGCTGGCGTTAGTATCGAACTAAGCGCTAGAGCTGAGGCAGCACTAATCGACTGGATTCCCATTAATAGTCGGTTATGTGCTGTTAGATTAGAAAGTACCATCAAAGTGAGAAGAAATCGGCGTGAGAAACGATGTCTTTTTGTCATCTCCGCCTATTAAAATTGCACCCGACAGATTGTAGCCCGGATGCAATCAAAGATGAATTCCACCACCAGTTAACTGTTCTTCTCCAGAAAGTGCGTTCGTCAGATATTGTAGTACTAGCCGAAAACTTGAATGCTCAGGTCGGGCGTCTAGGCACAGAAGAGAGTCGTTTAGATGGCCGATGGGGACTTGTTGGTCGCAGGATAGATAACGGGGAACGTCTACTGCAAATATGCACAGACCACAACCTGTTTCTGGCTAGCGCTAACTTTCGGGACAGTCATCGCCAATGTACCACCTGGCGTCCTCCTTCTGCATCTCAAGCCTGGACTCAGATTGAACACATTGCGATCAGCTACCGCTGGCGTGGTTGTGTACAAGACTGCCGCTCCTTTTGGAGTACCTATCTGGTATCTGATCATAATCTGGTCTGCGCCAATCTTACCTTACTTTTCAGTGGACAACGAAGTGACCGCCACCAAAGGGTTGACATTAGCAAGCTGGTTGCGACTTGAGTTGCTAGTAAGTACCGAAACGAGCTAGCTTCTAGGCTAGCTAACATTCCACCGAAGTACAGATGAGCATTGGTTGCAATTGTATGACGCCATGAAAATGGCGGGTAGAGTCAGTTGTTGGTTCGCGAAACGTCCCGCTTACAAGCACTGGGTTTCTTCAGGCTCCTTACAACTCATTGAAGCCCGTCGGTCTACTTCCGATTGCGCCCAAGCTATTGGCTTCCCTCATACTTCGTAGGTTGTTCAAAACCCGAGAAGGATTGCCTAGCGAGGAGCAGGCTGGGTTTCGTTCTAGTCGAGGACGTATTGATCATATCTTCACCCTCCGCCAAATGTTAGAACACCGCCATACTTATCAAAGGCCAACAATCGTAGCGTTTCTTGACATCAGGGCTGCCTTCGATTCGTTGGACAGAACTGTTCTCTGGGATTGTCTATTGAAGAAGGGTGTGCCTGAGAAGTTTATTAACATCCTAAAAGCCCTATACACAAACACCTCAGGCAGAGTGAGGGCATACAACCACCTTTCTCCACTATTCCATTCAAGCAGTGGGGTTAGACAGGGTTGCCAAATCTCACCATTCCTCGTCAACTTTGCCATCAATGACATTCTGGAAACAGCTCTGATGGATGTAAGTATGGTGGTGTGGATCTGTTGCCTGGAGAAAAACTTCTCAACCTTGAGTATGCGGATGATATTGTCTTACTGTGCGATAATGTTCAAGCTATACAATCCGCACTTAATCAGTTGGCAATCAGTGTCCGTAGGTATGGTATGTGCTTTGCACCTTCTAAGTGCAAAGTACTTCTACAAGACTGGCAGGATTCTAATCCTGTACTCACTCTGGATGGTGAGCAGATAGAAGTAGTCGAGAAGTTCGTGTATCTAGGTAGCTGCATAAGTGCTGGTGGTGGTGTGAGTGATGAGATCAATGCACGTATAGTGAAAGCCAGAGCGGCTTATGCCAATCTGGGCCATCTTTGGCGCCTTCGTGATGTTAGTCTGGCTGTAAAAGGTTGGATCTAGAACGCGACGGTGAGAGCAGTTTTGCTCTATGCTTGTGAAACCTGGCCTCTCCGAGTTGAGGATGTTAGACGACTCTCTGTGTTCGATCATCGTTGTCTCCGGAGGATTGCTGACATCTAGTGGCAACACCATGTTAGTAATGCAGAGGTTCGGCATCGTGTGTTCGGGCACAGAGACGATAATTCAATCAGTGTCACCATCTTGAGACACTGACTTCAGTGGCTTGGACATGTTCTACGAATGTCGTCCCAGAGAATTCCACGTCGTGCATTATTTGCCGACTCTGGGACAGGTTGGAAAAAACGGAGAGATGGTCGGTGTATAACATGGTGTCGCGATATGAAAGAAAGCTGCAAAGGGCTGGCTTGTGTTGGTTTTTCACGACTCCCTGACTGGGGTCCGAGAGATGGTGTAACACAGTGGCTAGAGACGTTATCAGATATGGCTCAGAATAGAAGCCAATGGCGATCCTGCTGTAACCTTATTTTACTTTCTTCATAAAAAGTGGTTGTATCTTCCTTAACTGTAAGATTTACGCTGTTTGTACCTTTCCGTTTCCCTCATTATTGTTCTTTTTTTATAATTCCCTACGTTTCTTACCTTTTTTCCCCTTCTCTTTGTTTTGTGTGGCGCATATATATTTGGTGCTACCTTGTACCAATATTTATGTGTTCAAATAAATAAATATCAAATCCCATAGTGCTAGAGGTAGTAAGAGTATAAGCATTAATCGGAAAGATTACGGTTTGAAGATGTTATTCAAGGAGTGTAGTAAATTTGGAAAGAGAAGAAAAGGGACATGAAGAATTCAGAAGGTTAGAATTTGGAAGAACATAAAGAGTGGATGTACCTGCGCCATTGCAAACGATTTTGAGCCACATCATTCAAGGTCTCTAATCATCGGTTGCTATCGTCACGCGGATCCCAATCCGGTAGTCTACACCTAGAAACATGGCTCAGTCCACTTGTCAGTGACTTTATAGATTTCTGTCATATTTTTGTCTGACCGCCCCTAGCTTTGTTCCAACGTACTACTACACCACAAAATATCGCTCGTCGGGGCAGTCGGCTTTTGGGTATACGTAACACATTTCCCAGCTATATCACTACTTCATCAATTGATTTGCCATCCTTACATAATACCCCTTCCCTAACAACTGCATTTCTTACTCGGTGGTCCCAGGATATACGACAATGCTTTGAAGGCAACTATGATCAAATACCTACGAATATCCTCTACCCTTACAGGTCCTGTTTCACAGCCATAAAGTAGGACAGAACTGCTGCACAGTAAACCAGTCTTCTGGTTGGTATCGTTATAGCATGAGTGAACAGAGAACAGCGATCTCAGTAGAAAAGTTACTTTAAGCACAAGATTGTACAACGTTGTGATAACTTTAACTTATATTTACAGTGATAATGATTTATTTATTTTACACATAGATATTGGTACAAGGAGGCACCAAATAGGTATGCGCCACACAGATCTCATTTGAAATGTGTGAGGGCTGTGATACGGCCCGGGTGCCCAAACCGAAGCACGTGGTTTACTTAGAGGGCCATACTCCGAGCCTTCGATATGAAGATCTGACCCACAAGTCAGTGGAATATCGTGAGGAGATGCAGTCCCCCGGTAGCCGATGACCAGCGACTGGTTCATACTTCATTTGTTCCTTCAGGATATTGGAGCCAGACCATGTGCACTATTGGTTTGGGATCCGGTTAAAGCGTCGGAAATTCGCTTTTCGTCCTCTCATTTTCGTAAACAACACCCCCGCCACGAGAAGGCAGACAGAAACTGTATACGCGTGGCCATGTGAGAGCGAACTCTCCCCATTCTCGGCCGTACCAGGTCCACTAACCCGTAGTATGTAAACTACTCTTACAATAATCCAGAATATATATATATATATATATATTTATATGTTTGAGTTCGTAGTACCGGTAAAAACAAATTCGGTGTAGAATATGTAACTGAGCCAATGAAATATCAATAACACTAACATATTTTAAAACAAACTACAATAATAATAAAAAATATCCAACTACAGTACAGTTTGATTTAATACTGAATGCGTGTAACTAATGACATCAAAACACAAATATATAATAATAAAAAAACACTAATTTATTTAAGATTTTACAGTACAATATATTTATTCAAATAATTACTGTCAGTTACTAATAAATGGGGGGGAAGGGAGGAAACAATACTATAGTTAATTTTAAAAGCTGCCTAGATCAGTTTAAAAAATATCATTAGAATAAAGAAGTCCATGTAGTAAATAAATAAGAAATAGATAGATAGATAGATAGATGTACATGAAAAAAAAAACAAACAAAACAACTACAATTATTATCCTGATTAATATGTTCATTAAATTTATTCACAATAATAAAAACACAGCCATTCATTATTTACAACTTCAATTAGAAGAAGAACAACAACAACAACAAACATTAACATTTCATCATAATTCCTATGAAAAGAGGACTCCCGCCCCCCCCCAAATAAAACAAACACACACACACACACACAAAAAAGAAGAAAAAACATCATGTACAATTATATTCGTTTAAACCTGAGAAAAATAAATTTAAATACCAAACAATTTACCGGTAGTAAATAATTATTGTAGCAAAATGCTGCCATTAAATAAGTATTTGTCTTATTTAACATTTACAATATTGGTTTTAATTATTGAAAACAAAAAGAAAAAAAAAGAGAGAGAGAAAAAAAAAATTGAAAATTCCTACTATTTTTCCATGGAAGCTATAAGTTGAATAAACTAAATTATCACTAAAAAGAAAAGAAAAAAGACATACGATCACACATATAATGTAACAAAGTATATATATATATAGATATAGATAGTTATATACCATATTTGCTCTTCAATATGCAGAAAAATCTGACTATATACAGATTTGATTAAATCACCTCGGATTATTGATTTTTGTTTTACGCTTATATACCGGCCCTCGTGAAGTCATATATCGTGTGACACTTAAACGTATACGTTCTTGAAGTCCATTTGAAAAAGTTGGTGGTGAACTAACTGATGATCGTTTTAATTCCTTCGATACAAATGAATGAGTTAACTACAAAATAAAGTTGAGATTATTATTATTTTTTTTAAATTGTCTAAAATATTATATGAATGTAACAAAAAACGAAAAGAAAAAGACAAATTAGGAATGGTATATGACAATGATATCAGCAATATATTTTGACTATCCCTTTTATTAATGATCATGTTCAATACAAATGAACATTAGTTTTAAAAAAAAATGGGTAGGTGTAAATAGAACATTAAAGACAATACAATTACAATGAGGTAATAAATATATAAGAGATATCCTAAAGAGCGATACGAATAGTGTTTAACTAGAAATTAAGCTCATGGAAGAAATTTGATGTACATCAATTTGTTATCTGTTTATGAGTATTCCAATCGTTAAGATCATGAGTCAGTTGAAGCTAGACCACCATGGAAAACCTGGAAGCACTGGACGGCCGTTTCGTCCTATTTTGGGACTCCTTAGCAGTGAGCATCCACGACTTCGCCCTCTGAGAGATTTGAACCCAGAACGTATCAGTCTCGCGTCGAACGCTTAACCAACTAGACCACTCAGCTGGTCAGCATCAAACAGTGTTAATGTCTAACTTCAATTAATCCACGAAATTGGGAGACACATTTACCATTGTCTACAGTGAGTAACTATCTCACAACAGACCTGGTTGAACTCCACTGGACACTACTTCTCACTAGAACTCCAAGATATGCTTCTTGAAGCCAGTCACTAGTGAGCATATATTGATTATTATCATGATCTTAACCATTGAAATTACTACAATCTCCACAAAACGCATTCTGATAATATGAGTATTCTGTTGTAATTTTGTTGGATGAGTGATATTGACAATAAATATATAGCTCAAGATGAACATACATAAAGTATAATAAACTTATTGTGACCATGGAAGGAACTGAGTGTATGCCAACGTAAGTACAGAAGGGAAGTTAAGAATATTCGTATTGACGAGCTGGACAATATGTTAAGAAAATTCTGTCTTTTAAAAAATACAGTTTTACGGTGTTGAGGAGTCGTAGTTGAAATGAAAAAAAAACTATGAGCTATCAAATACAGGTATACTCTCTTAATTTTACTTACAGGAAAACTCATTTGCATGTATTTCTTCGATGAAATGTTTTGTCTTCTACATTTCGCAATTTCTCATTGCTATTTGAAATGCAGAACTTATGGAACATGGGAAAATGAAGTAATTAGTTATCAGCATTAAACCATGAACGGATATCATACATACAACATGTTACTAGGTAATAAAAGAGTAATCCTACCTTTTTTGTTATATGCAAAAAGTCTTCACTTGAGTCTATACGACCAGTCAAACAATTAGGTAGTCTGTAGGGCTTCAGAAGACGCAAAATGTAATTTCCAACCTAAACAGAATTAAATAAAAAATTTTGTCGTCAAACTGATTCGACAAACATTTCAAATGATCAGAAAATATAGAACACTAAAAAAACTTGATGTAGCTGATCATTTTGAAAGCTTAAAATAATTCAATGTATGAAGTGTGATCTATTCCCTCAAAAAAATTAAAACGCAATTAATCCAAGCAGTATGAATAATATACACGAAAGGTAGATTGAGAATATCTTGATAATGATGCACAAATGGTTCATATACGATTTATTATTTTGATCATCACCTATAACATAAATTTAGTAATCTAGTAATACTATCAGAATAACGGAAACAAAATATGAAAAATTTGAGTTTTAGATCAATTCAAATAATTCAATAAAAGCTCTGAAACCTTGGATAATAATAATGTGTGAGTAGAGTCACTGGTAATTGATATGAGGGATAAGTGTAGGACTACTCAATTAGATTTAAAGGTTAACTCACAATCAACTTTATGAGTGTGAACTTACGCGCCTTAATAAGTAGAAGATTCACAAACATTGAAAAAAAAATGTGATAGAACTCAGTGGTCAACTAACCTCATGAGTAAACTGTCTTTTCATCTGTCCATATTGCTCTTCAGTAAGGGTATTTTTCTGAAAAACAAAACAACGGTATATAAGGGGATTTAGAAAATGGATGGTTTTAGACAATTAAATTTGATGAAAAGTTCAATCAATTATCAAATGAACTGTTTTTCTTACGTCATCTTTTTCATTGACATTTATTAATGGCTTCTCCCACTGAACACTATTGGTTTCTTTATTGTAATAATACAGTCGCCCACTCGAGTCAGCAGCTGATTTCCAGCCCGCAGGTAATGAATTTAAGTCATCATCAGCATACCGTTTGAGTTCTTTACAAAGACGCGTAACCTATATCATTTTAAATATAAAAGTGTAGAAAAATACTTTAGAAATACATTCATATAAGCGTGTAGATAAGTGCCTTTCTAAGGATTAAGATAAGTAGACAGAATTATGTGATTAATGATTACATGTTAAAGTTCTAGACCATTTAAACACAAATTCAAGATATATATTTCAAAAGTTAGGAAAACTGTGAATGAAACCACATTGAGATTTGGTCTGTGCATGACCGGTCCTTACAGAATTCGGCCTGTTGATCTCGATGTTGGATGTCTACTGAATTTTCCATTCAGTTCAACAGCACCCTGTTGAAACATTTACTGGTATCGATAGTAGTGTGATGCCTTTGTAGTTCTCACACTTGCTCAGATCTCCTTTCTTTGGTATCTTGGTGAGGTATCCTTCTTTCTAGTCTGTTGACACTTGTTCTTTCTTCAAATCTTTCTGGATAGAATGTGAGAAATCTTTGAAGTTGCTTCTATGTCTGAATTCAGTGCTTCTGCTCGCATGTTTTCTGGTCCTGTTCTTTTCTCAATCTTGATTTGTTTGATGGTCTCCTGCTTTCTTCGATCGTTGATGGAGTGACATCCATAGGAAGTTCTGTGTGTGCTGCTTCGATGTCCGATGGATTCAATAGAGCTGGACTATTCAAGAATTCGTAAGTGTTCTACCCATCTTTTCCTCTGTTCTTGAATTCTACTGATTAGCTTCCCTTTCTGTCCTTGACCGGCCCTTCTGGATTGCTATATTTCTCTGCCAGCTTCCTTGTTGTGTCATAAAGTTGTTTCATATTTCCATCTCTTGTACCTTTTTCGCCGTCGTTGCTAGGTCTTCCACATATTTCTGCTTGTCGGCTCTAATGCTCCTCATTACTTGCTTGTTTGCTTCTGTGTATTCCGCGTGTGCTTTGACTATCTCCGGTCGTGTTCGGCTGTTGTTAATTGCTGTCTTCTTGTTCTTCCTTTGTTTGCTCTTGTCCAGTGTTTCTATAGAGATCCACTCCTTATGATGATGCTTCTTGTAGCTCAGAACCTCCTGACACGTTGAAGTTAATGCTTTTTTGATATCTTTCCAGTTGTCCTCCATAGTAGCTTCTTTCTCCTTCAGTAGATCCTGTAAGGCTTGGAACCTATTGTTGAGAATGATCTTGAATCCGATGATTTTTTTCAGTATTTCGAAGGAAGGTTGTCTTGGACCTTTGCAATTCTGTTTCTCCAGTTGTCCATTGCTTATTTAGCTTCAGTTACACCTTGACAAGCACCAGCTGGTGATCTGAAGCTATGTCACCTCCTCTTTTGGTTCTCACATTTTCCATTACCTAAATTTTTTATTGATGCAAATATGATCGATCTGGTTCTCTGTATCTGTTCAATGGGACTAACTTTACACAACAAGAATTATTTAAATGATAACTTACCAAATCTGAATCGTTGGAACTGGACATCAAAGTCAACATACGAGGTAAGGCTTGTAACAAAGTAGAAACAACAGGCATGCTTTTCAATTCTACTGCTATGTTAGATAAAAGATTTGAAAGGGCAGTATCGTTTCGACCGCACTCACTTAAAAGTGCACAGAGTAATAGCTGAAACAATGAAAAGAACGAATAACAAATAACACGAACGTGAAATGATGCAAAGGGAATCAATCAAATATTACTGGTCTGAGATTTACTATTTCTTAGCATGGTTTGTTTACGGCCTATAATTTTAACACTAAAAATTTTTTGATATAAAACAATGTATCTAACCCTAAATGTTTATAGTTCTGAAATGAAAATCAATAAATGTCACGAAATCATTTGATATACTAGAAATATCACTCTAACTTGTCTTGTTCACAAGAGAGTCGATGTATGAGATAACTTTTTATATTATAATGGAGTGAATATTTTTACTACTAATTTACGGATTATTTTTAATTATAATTTTGTTGTGTGATTGATTAGTAAGCAACTGGGTTACTATCTTTATGTACTCTGTTGATGATAAGTTTTCGGTTAACGCATTAACTACTATCATGTCTTCAAAATTTGTTGACGTTCTATTACTTACATTTACCCTATTAATAGCCGCTTTTCGCCCCTTTATGTATAATTTTTCATTTTATGATGTGATGCGGTCTGGTATGTCCTCATATAAACTACGTTTGTTTGAAGCAGATAAAGTAGCTGTTTGCTGACTTTTGGACTTAAGGAAGGCAAAGAGAGAAGCTTGCGAGATGAGGACCAATAGGAAGTTAGTTGTGTCGGCTCACGATCAAAATTGCTCGTGAGGTGTGTAGCTGATCAAATCAAAGACGATAAGCTGTGGAGGAAGTGATAGGAGCGAAACAGACAAAAACCAGAATTAGAAATCTGACTAATAACTTGGCACGTGATATCAGTCCGCGGTCTCGAGACAACGTTTTATGTCCGTAAATTTGCCATCAACTGATCAGACACTATGTGAAGACCATAAGACTAAGCGTAATGAACATTTCATAAAAGTAGTATTCTAGAACAAACAAAATTTCGATTTTGATTTTATCACAGAAGTTTGGGAGCAGTAATATTAAAATACGGTAGGATTACACAAAACAAAACGATAAATTAATATTGATCAGGAAATTAATTATTGACTGTTACAGACAATATATTTGGATTTGTATTTTATTTTATTTTATTTTAACACATAAGTATAGGTACACGGAGGCACCAAATACATATGCGCCACACGAATCTCAATTGATTTGTGTGAGGGCTGTGATACTGCCCAGGTGCCCAAAACGAAGCAGGTGGTTTTCTTAGAGGGCCACACCCCGAGCCTTTGACCTGGACGTCTGACCCACAAGGCAGTGGAGCATCGTGAGGAAATGCAGTCCCATGGTAGCCGGTGACCAACGATTGGTTCATACGCCATTTGTTCTCGCAGGATACTGGAGCCCATGTGCACCACTGGTTTGGGGTCCGGTTAAAGCGCCAGACATTCGCTTTTCGTCCTCTCATTTTTGTAAACAACACCCCCGCCACGAGAAGGCAGTGAGTAGGACTTCCCTGGCAGAGGCTATATACGCATGGCCATGTGAGAGCATTTCGAGAGGGAGAGTGGACTATCCCCACTCTCGGCCGTACCAGGGCATTTGGGGGCATATATATTTGGATTTGATCAAATGTTGGAGAAAAATGGAATCATATGTAAATAAAGGTAAGAAACAAGCAAAAAAAAATCACCTGACGAAGATGATCTGTATCCTTTTCGTCATTAGACGGATTTGTCTGCACAAAATCATCTGATGTAGGAACAGAATTTTCAGATGAACTTTGATTTTCATTAGCTTTAACTTGAGCTTCGAAAAGCATACGTCTCTCAGCTTTTGATAAACATGACGAACTGTTGGATGCTTTGGGACCATTCTGCTCTCGAATGAAAGATGAAACCAGTTTATCACGCAAACTTCAGAAAAAATAAAAACAGGGAATTAATTATAGTATTGCAGAAAATGCTCATTATTTCATAAAATCGGGATAGATAGTATAAAATCATGTGTACCTTATTTCGACAGGATGCTTTTAAAAAAATACTATAAAGTATAAAATAGGAAACGCTGTATAATGCCTACCGATTGGAAGTGGTACATTTGAAGACGTGAATCTTCCTCAATCAACAACAATCGAGGAAGCAATACTTAATATAAAAGAGTGATGGTAGATGTAATGAAATTTAAATGCTTTACTGACTGATTCAAACGACAAACAGCTGGTATCCTGTCACTGTTCTGGAAACTCTGTGTGTATATATAAAGAGTAAAAAATCCCTAGAATTATTTAATATGGGAAAACGCATAGGTAATCAATGAATGGAAAGTAGATAATCGTGTTTAAACTTACGTTTTATTTGACTGGAATTTACTGCTACTATTCTGAGTCCAAGATTTATTGGATATTGCTTGATCATCTGGTAAACCAAACAATAAAAATAACTGACCAATTAAGGAAACAATATTTAGTTGTTATAACTTTATGATCAATGTTAAAATACGGTGTAGTCGAATTTCTATAAAATGAACAGAAACATTCAGTTCTAAATAGTACCGACCTTTGTATTCCGATCCCCAAGAGATAAGAGAAGAACCAATTGGATTTGATATATGAAGCATTTTCTCGGTTTCTTGACGCTCCAATCGCGGTATCCGGTAGTTTTCCTTCTATTATAACACACAGAAACACATAAATGGCATTATAATAAAAACAAGTTCGAAGTAAATGATGATAATTAAATATATAACCAGTAAATCCTATAGATTGTCAAGAACTTACCGGTAATTTAGACCATTTTTCAAGCAGTTCACAAGCCAAAGCCTTGATCTCCTCTATCCATTCCTCATTCGTCTTAGTTTTGCATTCCTCAGTATCCATATTTATTTCATTGTCGTCAGCTGCATATCCGATTTCAATTTCACCATTATCGTCATCCACAAGAGTTACGGGAGACATATCACAATCCGAAGTTTGAATGACAGCGTTACATCCTTCTTCATAAACTGGAAGTGTCGAAGCATGCAACACACATGATGCATTCTCCTTCAAGGAAGAACTAAATGAGTCGGAACTCGAAGGTGATGCAGCAAAATCACTATTCTTATCACCTGTTTGTATGGAAGATGATTCATTGTTTTTGGTACTCTTAGAAACTGAAACATGAAAAGTAAATCGTAAAATGAGAGTAAATCATCTCACAAGACACTACATAATGGTGAATTTGTGCACTTATGACAGACAACAGCCACAAAATATAGGAAAAAAATTTTCAGTATAAAGAGAAACAGTAGAAAAAACACAAGTGAACAGCTTCCGTAATTAGTAAAACTGAAGCTGTGCATGATACGTTATGACATCAAAAGTTCCGAAACCTTTGAAAATGATGTTTCGAATTCCCAACATTTATACATAAATGAGCTGCATAGTTAACAAACAAGCCATGAAAACTGAATCCAATATTCAAACCTTTGGTGTACTGGACAGTATCTGACCAGGGTTTATTCCAGGTATTTTAAACAAACGTTTTAGTGTATTCAACGATAATAATTCATCAGTGTTAAAAGTTAATAAATATCTGTTTATAAAGTGTTAGCCTGAAAAAAGTTTAAAACGTTTTATCCACCCAGCAATAAATAGATCTTGAAGACATCTAGAAAAATAAAGAACTACGTGACATTTCGTTTCGAATATTACTTATATGGTTATGAAAACCAATGAATAAACCCAACTACCTGTGAATAGATTAACCATTAGAGCAAAGCTTTAACTAATATCTTGCGCCTTTTCCCTACTCAGTCAGTCAATAACAACGTGGAACTTCGTACGTACGTACATCAGTTCGAGTTGCCATACCACATCCTCATATTGATGAGTAATTAGTCAGTTAAACAAAGCAGAGTATATACATCGATTTACCATAGCAATAAAGAATTTGTGAGAAAAGTATGTAGCGGAGATTAACATGAGAAAAATGATGTCCGATGAAGTACTATAACAAGTGGACTAAATTTAAGAGAAAATACAATCTGTAATTAATTTGCATCAAGTTTCAACGTGAAACAAAACATTGGACGGGAAGGAACGGAACAAAGTAATAGCTGGAAGAAGGACGGATCTCAGTGATAAACAACGAGTTTAGATAAAATACATGAAAAATAATTGCTATTTACATTACAATCGAAAATCTTTATAACCCTAAGTAGGGGTATTTATTATTTTATTTTAACACATAAGTATAGGTACACGGAGGCACCAAATACATATGCGCCACACAAATCTCAATTGATTTGTGTGAGGGCTGTGATACTGCTCGGGTGCCCAAAACGAAGCAGGTGGTTTTCTAAGGGGGCCACACCCCGAGCCTTTGACCTGAACGTCTGACCCACAAGGCAGTGGAGCATCGTGAGGAAATGCAGTCCCATGGTAGCCGGTGACCAACGATTGGTTCATACGCCATTTGTTCTCGCAGGATACTGGAGCCCATGTGCACCACTGGTTTGGGGTCCGGTTAAAGCGCCAGACATTCGCTTTTCGTCCTCTCATTTTTGTAAACAACACCCCCGCCACGAGAAGGCAGTGAGTAGGACTTCCCTGGCAGAGGCTATATACGCATGGCCATGTGAGAGCATTTCGAGAGGGAGAGTGGACTATCCCCACTCTCGGCCGTACCAGGGCATTTGGGGGCTAAGTAGGGGTGCTTTTAAAGCGTCAATATTACAGAAATGTCTCAAAATCTTGACTTTCACAAAGAGCAATATTAATTTCATCAGCACTACTAAAAGTACAACGATACAGGTTGTACAACACAAATACACCTGTAACTTCATTCATAATCCGTTCTTCGTTTAAATACTATGGCATCTATTTCACCCTACTCATTAAGTGTTCAGTTAGGATGACATGAAAAAACTGACAACTCGTCAAATCTGAAGACCAAAAATATATTCTCCTACTGGACATTCTGAAGCAAACGCAAAAGCGCTGTGTGAATGTCCTCGGAATTCCGATGAAAAGGAAAACCAAATTCACCATAGTTTGTATTTTAACAGACGGAATGTTGATTGAGAATAATATGTTCGTGAAGGATCGTTAGAAAACTTATGTTAAAGTTTGCATCTGTAATAGCAAGAATTATTAGTTTTTGAGTATGGTATTCGTTGTCATCAAATTAATAAACCTAATACAATCGGTAAGCGATATAATTCATGACCAAATGTTATCTAACTGACAGGGGAATATGAGTGATCATGAGAAACATATGCCGAACTACTATCTATCACTAAGTGGCTAGCCGCTGCTGGTTGAGGAAAACTTAATATAGACTTGATCAGTGAACTGGGTACTGTTGTAAATTGTGCAAACAACTGGTTAAAATGGAAATTGTTTGATCATTTATTTTTTGGTTTTTCGTGATGTTTTTGTGTTGATCTCTCTGCAGAACAGGAAATGGTGGTTAGTCGAAACAAAATATGACAATCTATCCTTTTTACTGTTTGATATGAACAGATTATTATAAAACTATGGATTCAAATACGTTTTTTCAACTTAGATAAAATATGAAAACGAACTTTTTAACAAATAAATTGCCAACTTAATCATCCAACATACGTGATTTTGTTTCATCAGAGTCAAAATTCGATTCCATAGGGAGTTCATCAGTGGAAATTTTAACCAAAGTAACATTTGAAGTATCTGAAAGCAAAGTTCAGCAACTTGAGCAACTTTACCTGCTATATGTACATCAGCACTCTTCCACGACTCTGGAGGAATACTACGTGCTCGACAGTGGTGAGGATTGGAAGTCCACTGTGCTACTATTTCCATAAGGCGTGAATTCGACTGTACCTGTTTTTGCTCTGAAACAGGGATGTGTTTCAAGCAAACTAATATCTACAAAGAAATAGATTGCAAACATACATGAGGTTTTGATTTTGTTAACGTATAAAATATATCGAAGCGCAAGCAAACAAAGTGATAATAAGCGAAACACATGTGAAATTAGCGCATATGCACATATTATAATGAACGAGAACATAGGTGGGGACAACCGACTGTATTTAAATACAGAATCTCTTGGTAATATATTAGAACCATACACTAAATACTTCACATGAAAATTTCCATCATTTGTCTTTCAAATTTTGTATGATTCTTCTAGTCCACAATTCCTTTCCATTTTCCCTTCTATTCTCTTCAAGTCGATCTTCTCAGCCTTCTGCTGTCAGGTTTTTCGCTTTCGACTGGCATTACACACTGCTTATATTTGTTGACACAAGTTGCATACACCAAAATTTATTATTTATATGAACTATGTGAATTGGAAAATAACCACTACACTGAAAATTACCATGTGTAGGTACAAAACCAGATCTATGAAACGGAAAAATCTTAAGACACAGAGATACCTCAGTAGTTTAGCAAAACATTTCACACAAAGAAAAACAATTTTTCCATATACCTGCTTTTTGAGTTCCCAATCTTTTGGCGCTGCATCACACATAAAGGCCGCCAACATATCGAGACCATTATACTGTCGAAAAAGTTTAAGACAAGCATCGTTTTCTGTTTTAATCAGACGGTTGAGAAGCTGCAGTCGAGTGTACCTTGTAAGGCATTCTTGAACCATAACTTGTAATAACAGAGTTATATCGTCTGCATTTCTGAACGAATCTAATTGAAGGAGTTGGAGAATGCGTCTTTCAACCTAGAGGTAAAATGAAATTAGCAAAGGTATATATCAACTATGATAAATCCACTACAATTAGTAGAATGGGATAAAACGATTTCCAAATCCAAATCACGTCACGTAAGCAGTTGAAAATTAATTCTCAACTTTTTATTTGATATTCATGTAAATAATGCAACTAATTTAACTAAATAAAAAAGTTCATGTACTAGGCTATAAGCCATACTTTTTGTGAGGATAATTATTCAATTTGGGTGCGAAAAAACCGGAGATAGAGCGGGGTTCGGACCAGCAAATTAGGGACTGGAAGTCGAATGCTATAAGCAACTAATTGACCTTTGTGGTAGATAATTTGCAAACTTAGCATGTTGTTTCCTGTAGCAACATTAAAGGAACCTAAAGTAATACAGTTAACAATAGTGTCCAAATAATTTTATACGGCGAACAGAAATACTTAAACCGAAGTATGTTTCCGAAAATGACCATGAACTACTTTTATCTAATAGCAGGAGATTTAGCTGTTGACTTTCTGCAGAGCTGGTTTAGTAGCTAGAACAAGAAAACTAATATCAAGAAGGAACAGAATTATTAGTAAGACTACAGAGGTAACCATTGTAATTTTTAGTGAGTAGATTACAGTAATAAGATGTAATACATTTTGAGCATCACCTTACGAGAAACCTGGTTGAACAGTGCTGGTTTCCATCCTTCAAGCTTTTTCTAAAATGCTCGTATGGAAAACACCAAAATAACAACCAAAAACCACTAAAATTAACCTTTTAGAGCTATTTTTCTAACTGATAGATAATCCTTATAAAGCTCAAAAGCTTTGCTACACCTCGATTTAATAAAACGGTATTGTCCCAAAAAGCTAGAAATACTAAAAGATACTGATTATCAGGGACCTGGAATATTTAAAAACATCTAGCTCGGAGAAGTCAAGTTTTACAGTCGATGAGAAATGCTCAAAAGTATTGTAAACTTTACCGTTTACTACCAAGTGAAAGTTGACAGATTAAACGACAACTCATAATAACATATCACGAGTTGAACATACTATACAAACTAATCAACTGTTCAATTAAACTAGCTTCTTAATCATCTACAGCAGTTCATCACTAACAATAGATGTGGCGAAATCTCCTGTTAACCTCGTACTACTTTGAAATTCGTTTCCGTAAGGTATCGTGTGCATCCAAACCCTAACTTTTAAATAATTAGGTGAAGTTTTCGTTATTGATGCCGTACTTTTAAAAGTAGAGAATTAATATCACTATGAAATCGCTTTAAATCGACCTCTAAATCACTATGTTTGGCAAATCCTCCAACTGTAACTTCTAGATGGATGAAGTACTCAGGATAGTCGAATCCTATCCTACTTGTTTTTGTAGAAGGTCGAAAATAAAACAAATTTAAGTCATCATATTGATATCTTACTGCAAAATGTCTAGCTTTCAATTTCGCTCAGAAGTCAATAACAAAACGATGAGTTTTCTACCCCAAACTGACTATGCATTTTTGACTGTTTCAAACTGGACTTGTTTCGTCATTTAAGACAAATTTAACTGCTGTCAGTTACAAAATGTTCGAGATAAAAGTACATAAAAAGAAATCACAAAAAGATACATTGCACGCACTAACAATCCATGACATACCATTGTAGTATCTTTCATGCGAACTTTCTCTTGCAAATATTTGCTGGTCGCCCCCATTACACCAGAGCAGGTAGACGCACCACAATAGCACTTTTGTTCAGAAACCCTGAATTTTACAAAACAATAAGCAAAAATATAGAACGAATAAGTTCAAAAGTCAATACAGTGGTAAAAGAACAGATTTTGTTAAAAGCGTCTTATTGGATGTTAATAAATTTACCTCATCCAATCATTTAAACTTGCCCGAAGAGGAATGGATGCGATTGTTCACCTAGATTTTTTTTATGTGAACTGAGTTCAACCTGAATAAACATTGGTTTGAGTCAAAAAGGAACAAAATAAGTATTTTATAGTTAATCGAATGGTGCCAGTTAACTTTACGAAACGGAAAACTTGGAATTAAAAATTGGATTATGTATAACACCTAATATGACGTATCAGTATATTTGTTTCAATTTGGGCAAAATTGATCTTGAAGCTCGTGAGTATGCGCATTATTTATGAATATAGGATGATAATAATATAACATCACCTTACGACATTAAACGAACATAATTTTACCAGGTTTCACACTAAAGTCGGGATTTCAACAATCACTCGTTATTTTATTGTCTACGAGCTCTTACGGTAAGTATACTTTAATACAGCTTATTTACTGAGTATAGGTTTACGCATTAAAATCTGAGCCATGATTAATATGATATGGATATATAACACCACTTCCCAAACTGAAGTACGATAGAGTTCTTTATAAAAATCTGAACTTCAATAAAGACATTTCGGTACCTGAGATATATTTGAGTGAAACAATAGAAACATTTTATGTAAAATTTCCTAAAAGCTGTATATAAGAAAAAGTGTTAATTTCCGACCTAGCCACAGAATAACTACAAGGCAAACCTAGTTTAGTATGATTATATAATCACAGCTGATCCAATCATGTAGGTTTAAATAAAAGCCTTTAAAACTCAATATTTCATGTACTTATTTTCAATTACCGGGTGGCAGATTCCAACATTTTGCATACCATCAAGAAATTCATGTAGTATTACAGCGGCTTGATTTATAGACCTAAATTTAGCTGAGTTGCGATACACTAATTGGGATTTTGTTCGGTTATTTGGATACATGACATCACTAGGATAAAGCAAACTATGAAAAAAGATGATGAATGTCTAGAGAGAATCCGGGCTAAGGACGTTCAGTGACTGTGTTTGATCATCGTTATCTCCCAATAAACTGTCAGCATTTAGGGATAACACCATGTTAGTAATGCGGAGGTTCGGATATCTGTGTTTGGGAGTGGTGACAACAGCCCGATTAGTATCATGTTGAAATACTGGCTCCAGTTGTTAGAGTATGTACTTCAAATGTCTTCCAAGCGACTTCCACATCGTGCTTTGTTTTCTGACACTCAGTTTGGTTGGCGAGAGCAGAGAAATGATCAGTTTATGACACGCTGCTGAGGTATGAAAAAACATTGTATAAGACTGGAATCCATTAGTGAAAATTAATGTCTTGAGACATTATTAGACATAGCTTAGTCCTGTTGTAATTTTGTTTCACTTCAGGAAAACAAGAGGGATTTCCGTAACTAAAAGTAATATTTCAGAATGTTTTTTTTCACATGAACTGATTCCCCTGTTCACTCACTTATTCACTTAATTATTTTTTCAATCATATTAACCCCCCATTGTCTATTTCTTCAAGATTTCATTCACTTATTTGTGTGGCAAAGAATTATTTTAGTGTCCATTTGTATCAATAATTGCATTTAAATTAACAAATAAACGAAACCTAATTCAATTTATTAAATTTCGACGTTTTATTGAAAATTTCTATACATTCCTTCTTAATTCGAAAAAGTTGGCGGAACAACCAGGAATTTTCATCAATCTAGTCAAGTTACTGGATTTAGACATTTAGAACATTAGAATCGTTTTAGGACTCCTTAAACGACAAACCAACTGATATAGTTCAGAAAACACTAAACCATGATCAGCAGTTACCCAAGTAAGCATCTTCTATCACAAAAAAATAACATCGAAAACTAATCACTGACACATGAAACGTTATTGCTTCAATTAGCACACCAATATCACCAGTAGTTAATACCACTATTTGTGTGGATAGAATGTAAAGTCCTATCTATCAGCCGAAGTTTATCATTTTTAAATGATAAAATACGAATTAGATTCATTTAGATACTCAACAGAATCATTTTGGCAAGTAAATGCAAGCTAGACACACCTGGTAAATAAACATAACTGAAGAATAATAAACACATATTACGAATTTCAAGGTTTGTAGATAGTCAGTGCTGCTCAAAGTACCATTAACAAAACTAGTGCTTTGCTTTAACATCTACACAAAGTTGTTACATTTAATGAAACTTCTAGGTTTAACGCCATTTTATTCTGAAAATACGTTACACAACACATACCCATACTGGACAAACTGGTAATCTATGGTTACTTCCTGACCAGATGGAATATCTTCTTTAGCGAAAAATCCAATGCGTATTTCACCATCCACACTCCACTAAGAAATAAAAGCAAAGATAATAAAGTACCTTAAGTAGGTGCCAATGGGAAAGTTGTTTTCCAGGTATTATGATAGTACTACGAATTACTATAACGAACAACTCATGGAATGTTAAATATATGAACTATCGATTAACTAATTAGTATTAAACTTACCAAAAATACAAGACGATTATTTATTTACCTTTTGAGTAACACAGTTGGGTTCGCATGAGTGATTTACGAATCTTGCCCAGTTGCCTTTACTACCAGCATCGATGAATCTATCTGACTCCACAGCCATAAAGTAGTGATGAGCGTGACCCAGGCGTTCGTACCGCCGGATACGTCGACGAAATTCAGAAAAGTCAATTACTTCCCCCACATATTCAATTACAAAAGATCCTCTACAAATAAAAATGTTCCAATGGAGTAGTGTATTGCATCAACTTACTTTTCGACGTTATCTGTTGCCATCAGTCCCCACCCTTTGTCTTTACCCGCATAAAAAGGTCTTGTCGGAGCGTAAAGCCTCATCTGGAACTGACGATTACTACAAAAATCACCAGCAGCACAATGCGGTCCGCACTCAATATTCAGAGCGCGGTTGATACAACCAGGACCACAGGAAAGTATGCCTAGATCAAGTTCTACTGGAGTAGGAGCGACGCAATCACAAATCCATTGTCGCATCTCATAGTGTAATGAACTAGCACGCAATCCAGATGCCCCAAGAAGCTTACCACTCCCCGAGTATGTTGACTTACTGGGAATCGATGAACGGGTTGAACTCAAAAGACTGTAGTCATTGTTCAACAAGTGAGTGTATTGTGGAATAGGTGCCCCAGGATACGAAGAAAAAATGCTGCTAAGATCAACATCATAACTGTAGGACAGAAACAAAAGGATATTTATGGAAGTCTTTTTTGAATCAACAAGAAAAGTCAATTCAGTAATTCTAGCAATTGTCATTTAGTTACCAACTAATCTTATCAGCAACTCGAATGGTAAACTTATCAGAATTAATATTAAGAATATTAAATAGAGCCGTAGGAAACAATGGATCCAAGAAATAGCCACCTACACAGTTATTCTCACGAGGATTAAAATTAACAGATACACCTGGAACAAAGTAAGGGTCTAAAAAACTGATTCCTGAGTATTGTTATTAATCACAAGCAGGTTTAAGATAGCAGTGATATGGTAACAGATTCGTACATTCATACGGCAATTCACCGAGGCGAATTAACTCATTTTCAAAAAATCCCGTTAGACCTAACGAGTGAAACCAAACAATTTTTGAAAGGCATTAGAATTAACCACTCGGATAATAAAACGCTAAGCTTAGATATATAAGCTATCATCACACTCTAAGCTTTTAAGAAAGGTGGATGACTTTCGGATTCTACGAACCTTCTCAAAAGATATAGAGTACAAAAACCGAAATGCTACCAATAAAAACAACACACCATTTGGGAGCAGGTGAACCAGGTGGCCCACATTAATGTAGCTAGTATCCTTGAAAGTAGAAAAATTCACTAGTAAGACGTGAGAACGAGAATCCGCCAGGTTTCTGTCGATGAGCATTTACAGTAACACAATTTTTCAACGCTGTGTCCTCTAGGAATCCCGAGTCCCTTGTGCGTTTTATTTCTCTTAACAAAATAAAAACTAACCACATCAACTACAATAAGCTAAACGACAACTGACAAGTTTGTCCTCAATAAACATCATGCAGGGCAAATACATTTGGCTGCCTGAATGACTGCCTATGGACTGATAAGTGCAAACGACTATATCGTACGATAAAGCAATCGAATGAGCACATTTTGATTGAGCTTGGATTTTAAAGATGCCTGGAAGTTAGGAAGTAATTACGATAACCGGTAACCTAAACTGCCCGAGAAATATTAGTTAAAAGGCTACAAGGAACACCAACGAGAACTAACAGTTAAATCTTCATGTTGCAGAATTTGGGATGCTTTATGAACTGGGACAAATGATTACGCTTGTAACGTACAAGTCTTATTTTGAACCAAACATCAGACGAAACCAAACTATGCTTGATCTGCGTAAACGCGCTAGACGCCTGAGTAGACAACGTAGGTGGTAATCGTTAAACGCTATTTCAGATAATTATCAACCTTATAGGATGTAATTTGGTTGCTAAAATAATCAAAATGAGCATCTTTAAGTTGCAATTAAGTAGACTTACTCGGATAACCTTTCATACGGATTGAGAGTGTTGGACAGAAAACACATCGGGATATGAGGCTTAATCTTCCGTTTCCGTAGGTCGTATTTTGATTCGCATGGCCTAATGTCCTGTGTACTGACAACTGTTAGTGGTGTACCATCTACGTGTTCAACAATTTCAGAGCACTGGATATCTAACACATCCAGGTCTCTAGCAGGTTGTGACTGGATGCCATCAGTCACCTCAAACATTTTTTGAACACCTTGCATATCCAAATGCTGGGATGACTCGTTGATGGAACTAGGTTCACTTGAAACATGAGAAAATAAGTCAGGAACTGAGATGGGTTCAGGGACGTCATTGGCAGTGACGATAAACTCACCCCCAGGACAGCTCTGAGCATTATCAACTTCTACATTATGTGGACAGACTGTGTCCAACTCCACATTCGACTCCGACTCCATGACATAGCTATCCGCCGGCTGAACTTCCATACAATTTGGTATATTGTTAGGTGGAGATGGTAGTGGTATTTCATCTACAAAACAAAAGGTAATTTCCAGACATTCGAATAAAATCTGTTAGGGAAACCCTAAGAAATAATCTTAGCGGAAGGACCAACATTCACACGACTACACACCAACCACTGCGAATGGTGGCTAAGGCTAACGAGTACTAGACTCCGCCTAAACAGAGATCACAAACTACCAACACAAACGAGTAAACAAATGACAAATTACCCGCAATAAAACTGTCTAACTTAATCATTCGATAAACGAAACACCCCAAAAGATATCGCCAAAGAATAACAACTTCACTCTGACAGGATTTCTTAAAAAACCACAGCTGAGAAACAAAATTTATTGCCAAAATGTACAAGGTTTAAAAATACAGCTGAAAATTACACTCAGCGCTTTGTAGACTGATGTTACTTGACCTAAACGGAAAGTGTACACACAGGTTCAGATGTAATTAAATCAACACTCAAGAAGACAAAAAGTTGATCTGTCATGAAACCTCAAGGGCGTAGATACAAAGTACTGAATGATTTGTATGGATAGCAGTTTACTTAATTGTTAGAGGGAAGTGTGATAATTTCATTAGTAGTTCCAAAACTCAACGTAGCGACTAAGCCTTACCTATATTCACACTTTTGGATGGATGGAGTGACTGTGACGTCCGTTTTTGAGATTTCATATTACTCACTTGTCGTTCATTCCGAATAACCTCACTGTGGCGACTTTTAACCTCACTGGTAGAATGATTAGTCCCATGTTGACTTGAGTCGGAATCCGTCGAGCTACTATTACTCGACTGTTCATGCTTAAGTGACATAAGCTTTCTAGAAGGAGATTGATTTTCGCTGTTTGATGATGAATTAGGGCTACTATTCGAGGGATCATCACTATCAGTTTGTTCTGATGATTGTCTGTAACCCGGTTTTGGATGGGTCTTACGGTAAACATCTTCGAGTGTACCAGTAATACGTGAAGTTAATTTCTGCGTCTGAACGTATTGCACATTATCAGATTCCCGCTTAACATCAGAATCTACTTTTTCTGTAAGGCTCTTGACGACGGGTCGAGCAACGGCATTTTTTGTGCTAGTCTTGCTTTTTTTAACATATGATGATCGTTCAGTTTTGTCGCATACTTTCTTTTTTTTTTCTGGAGTGCCTGAGCGATGATAAGATCTCTTTGTCTCTTCCAAGTGTGAATTTTTATGGTCTAATTTTTTCTGAGATGTGGGGAATTTTTTTCTGTCTGATTCCCGTTTTCCTATGCTTTCAGAGGCTTCTAATTTTCGTTTGTGATCAATACTGCGTTTCCTACTACCTTTAAGATGACCGTGATCAGTAGATGAACGGTGACGTTCTTTAGAGTTCTGATATGACCGCGATCTGTGGCGAGCACGGCTAGAGCGGTGCACTGAATTCGACGAGCTAGATGAGTAACGACGTCGTGAGTGTCGGTTTCCACTAGACCTTCTAGAACGAGACCGTCTGTGTGACCTAGGATACTTGTGGGAATGTGATCTTGACCGACGACGACCATTTTTGCTCTTCGGCGTCTCCTCATTCTGTTGAGACTGATTCGCAACAGCCGGATTAGCTATCAACGGAGTAGCAATCATCTGCGCAGATCTAAACTTTTGGGGGTTAACAAACTGCATTCCAGCAGTTGGGGGTATCGACGCCTGAACAAGAGTGGGATCAGTAGCATGAGCATGGATCAAATTTCGAGTGGCAACGATCGGTACGGAGTGGTGAAGCGGTTGGATATTTAAACTCATTAAATTTGGTATTGGAGAGGCCTTCAATGGTAAATTTGTTCCAGGAATATGTGCTTTATTCGCAATATTATTACTAAGTACCATAGACTTGTCAACTGTACCGGATAGAATCAGTTGCCCAGAACTGATCATAGAACTAGTAGACTGAAGATCACTGGATTCAGAAGATGGAACAGAATGAGGATGAGACAGTAAACCTTTTGTGTGATCTGAAGTAGAACTTAAATTCTCACTTTCTTTAGTTGGTAGAAATAAATCGGTCTTGACCTCAGTAGCAGGCAATTTGTTTTTTGCAGGTAAGACACCGACAGGGAGTTGAGAAGGTTTTGACCTTTTCATCATCGCTTGGAGTTTAGGCATGGCTTTAGGCTCCTCAACTTTTACATCTTTAGATGATTCGAAAACCCCGGATGATTCTGTAGGCACATCTGAACCTGGTAAAGACTTGGTAGATTTTCGCATACTAAATTTTAGAGGTCCTAAGGACTCCATTGTGTCAGACTTCGGGAGATAAGAAGACAAACGTGGATAAAACGGCGGTCCTTTATCTTCTACATTTTCAACTGTTAGATTGAGATTTGGTAAGGGAATGTCAGAAGCTTCTATTTTGACAGCCGGCGGTAGTGGGATATTACATACATCACTGACACTCTTTGGTATAGGAACATTAATTGGCCCTAAGAATTAGTTAATTATAGATTTCGCTATAAATATCACATACTTGGTAGTGGAATAGCTGATAAATCAAGCGACGGAGAACAATCCTCTAACTCACTAAATTAGATTTTTGTATAAAAAAACAAAGGAACTTACTCCGTTGGTGAAGCCGGGTCATACTCCATCAAGATATATCAGCTGTGTAGAACTAATACAGTACAATCCCACCAGAATACAACCAAGGACGTTCAATGCTGTATTTAAGCGCTTTTTATTACCGGTGCAAGTTAAAACAAGTTTCAGCTCCGAAAATTAGATTGTCTGATTGTCTTATAAATATTGTATTTCGCAATAAACATATTCGTTCGTCCTCAACTAGATTGTCTTTCGAACGAGACTCCACCATGTATGCAGCAAATTAAATCATATAATACCATATGTAATACATGTAGAAAAAATATTTGGTCCCAGAACAAGTTGGAATTCTTGTAATAATGACGTGTTGTCTCTTTAATTTTTGTTTATTTTGGTTAACGATATGACCATTGGAAATTTATTCATTCTCCAAGTATTACACAAAATGTAACACCCACCCATAATTAGACAACTAATATTCTGCCTTCGTAAATGAAATAAAACTTGAGTATCTCGAATGAATCTAATTAAATATAAGAGGAACCGGGCAATATCTAAAACGACCTCAATTTGCTAGTCGAAAATCTTAAGGATGATCCGGATATCGTGTATTTACTACATGAAAGTTAGAGATTCCGTGGCACTTTCTTTAGTCACCAAAATTTACTGCGAGGTAGCGAAGTAACCAGACTGACTGACTGGAAGAAATAAGTTCAGGTCAGGAAGAGTTTCAATGACTCTACCATGTTTCAAAATACTATTCATAAGAATACCAATCTAGCCGTCTGTGTTAACCGAAATGTAGCGGTAGATAAATCCCCAAAATAAATAGCTCTGTAAGTTTTCGACATTGGATGCTGACCACATTAGTTTTAATAGACTCATCTAGCTGAAGGCGCTCGGTCATGCATCCGCACCAGATCAGGTGTGGGAACGCCGTGCTCAACATCTACCGCAATCGCTAGCCAGATTAGATCAAACGATCCTCGATATATTGATAGTCTATCAAATACATCTTCGACCTCCTCGCTTCTGTCTTTTGATTTCACTTGGTGGGTACGCTTCATATTAGGTGTTACTGGTTAGAGAGTTGTCAAACTCTGAATACCTGTGGCATATTCAGAACTTTTGTTTTCAATACATTGCAAGTTTTCGTCCTTCTCAATTGTACGTGGTTTCCGATAATGCTTGTATGACAAAAAATCGTTGTCCACACATTACTGAATTTCAGAGTTTTGTCTAGGAAAATTGACCAGTGTTACGGTACGTGGCTGGTAAGTGGTATCCATAAGTAAGATAAACATGATGAAGCAATACAACTCGAAACTGTTTACTTGTTAATCACCATTGTTGTTGTGTGAGACATTACACCATATCTTTTTTGAGAAAATAGGTCTGTTATAATGCTAACCATTATTTATCTCATATTTGGTTGAAGACACTACTATTTTGAGCGCCTATTTAACTGGTTCAGTTATACCATTCGTCTCGGTCATGACAGATCTTATTACTATTGTTAGTTGTGATGCATCACCAATTCTTTTGACTTTATACTAGTGTTTTTCACACCAATTTTGCTAAATTGTTGGATATATTCAGTCTCCATCAATTTATTCGGGCTTGGCTGCGATTATTAAAGAAATATTTCCATCTTGCTGTGAGACGACAATTCACAAGAATTCAGCTCAGTATGAGCCGTAACGCTCACGTGCTGTACTTCAACTAAACAGATATTGTTGACGAATAACTCAAAAAAATCGCAGAATATCGGAAATTTCCTGCTGATTCACCTAGAAACTTGTAATAATATCGATGGCTAGGATAAACACCGTTCCAATCCTTCGTTTACAAAGGTTTACAAATCCTTAAGCATTCTGCGTACAACACTCTCTTTGGTGATAGCGCTACATAAATTTAACGATCCTTGATTCAGTTTAACTAAATTTTCTGCTGTCAGGCTTTGCTTTTCCGAGTTATTGTCCATGTTATCTGACGGTACTTGAAGAATGATAGGACAAAGCGGAACAGCGGAAGAGGCAATGGGTAATGCTAGGTCGGTTGATACACAATGGACAGTGGAATTTATCGCAATGAGTGCAAAGGTTAGTATCACGGGTCTTTCACCAATTGACATCTGTTTTTAGATGTAGTAAACCCGTGTGTTATTCTACTGTCAGCGCTACTTGAATTTAACAAGTTTTTTATATGAGGTTGCAAAGCGCAACTCTACTGATCCCCATCAGGATGAATGAAATGGCACTTTCCCTGCAAATACGCAAATCGATGCATAACAGCCTGAGTTAAGATTAGAGCTGATTAACTTACGTGTACAGAGGCAAAAAGTACCACACTCAACGAAACGGAAATAAAGATACCTACGTGTTTCTTCAATGCCTCGTCTCAAGAACATTGGCAGTCCAGAAACACCCAGCAAGCGCAGTTGTAAAGCTAGGCCTGTTTCTAGCGGAGGGCATAACAAAAGGGGGGTTGAAAACACAACTCCTCGATTATTTCTTAGACTCTCAAACTGTGTAGTGCAACGCCGACTCCAAACGGAATAAAAAGTGAGTAACGAATGCAAGCCAAATGTAGAAAACGTAATTAACAACTCAATATTACAAAAAAGCAGAATGTTTGAAACGTAAATGAGAAACCGATGGTTGATCAATTAGCACTCGCCGCGAATATAGGGACTCTGAGTAATGGAAAAACTTAAACAACTAACTAAAGCAGAATATATCCTAGATAAGCAACGTATTCCTACAGTGGGGTCGCGTATAATCTCCCTGACCACAAATACCTAACGAAGCTAAAGGATATTTGTCTTCGATTATATGGAATTCCAATAGTCTACAACCAAGACATTCACGTGCGAAAAGTCGGGAAATCGACATGCTACTCATGCTTTAATTCAGCTGATATAGTGATACTGGACATTTTGCAAATTCTAGTTATAATATTAGCTCATTGGCTCTATATAAAAACATAAAAGTCACTCCAAACCTCACATCTTTCCAACGTGAAGCGATATTATCGCATGGTCATGTGACAACAAATAACCACTTAAAGACAACTTCCAATGCTGTAAAGAGTACTTAACGCATCTATCATGAGCATGAAATGAATACATATACTATGGTATGTGTTACATAAATCCACACAACTAGTATATAACGGTCGTCAGACATAGAATGTATCTCAGTAGAAGGTCGATGAGGAAGGAACGGGAACGGAAAGTAATTGGTATTGTAGCGGTAAATAAATCCCCAAAATAAATAGCTCTGTAAGTTTTCGACATTGGATGCTGACCACATTAGTTTTAATAGACTCATCTAGCTGAAGGCGCTCGGTCATGCATCCGCACCAGATCAGGTGTGGGAACGCCGTGCTCAACATCTACCGCAATCGCTAGCCAGATTAGATCAAACGATCCTCGATATATTGATAGTCTATCAAATACATCTTCGACCTCCTCGCTTCTGTCTTTTGATTTCACTTGGTGGGTACGCTTCATATTAGGTGTTACTGGTTAGAGAGTTGTCAAACTCTGAATACCTGTGGCATATTCAGAACTTTTGTTTTCAATACATTGCAAGTTTTCGTCCTTCTCAATTGTACGTGGTTTCCGATAATGCTTGTATGACAAAAAATCGTTGTCCACACATTACTGAATTTCAGAGTTTTGTCTAGGAAAATTGACCAGTGTTACGGTACGTGGCTGGTAAGTGGTATCCATAAGTAAGATAAACATGATGAAGCAATACAACTCGAAACTGTTTACTTGTTAATCACCATTGTTGTTGTGTGAGACATTACACCATATCTTTTTTGAGAAAATAGGTCTGTTATAATGCTAACCATTATTTATCTCATATTTGGTTGAAGACACTACTATTTTGAGCGCCTATTTAACTGGTTCAGTTATACCATTCGTCTCGGTCATGACAGATCTTATTACTATTGTTAGTTGTGATGCATCACCAATTCTTTTGACTTTATACTAGTGTTTTTCACACCAATTTTGCTAAATTGTTGGATATATTCAGTCTCCATCAATTTATTCGGGCTTGGCTGCGATTATTAAAGAAATATTTCCATCTTGCTGTGAGACGACAATTCACAAGAATTCAGCTCAGTATGAGCCGTAACGCTCACGTGCTGTACTTCAACTAAACAGATATTGTTGACGAATAACTCAAAAAAATCGCAGAATATCGGAAATTTCCTGCTGATTCACCTAGAAACTTGTAATAATATCGATGGCTAGGATAAACACCGTTCCAATCCTTCGTTTACAAAGGTTTACAAATCCTTAAGCATTCTGCGTACAACACTCTCTTTGGTGATAGCGCTACATAAATTTAACGATCCTTGATTCAGTTTAACTAAATTTTCTGCTGTCAGGCTTTGCTTTTCCGAGTTATTGTCCATGTTATCTGACGGTACTTGAAGAATGATAGGACAAAGAGGAACAGCGGAAGAGGCAATGGGTAATGCTAGGTCGGTTGATACACAATGGACAGTGGAATTTATCGCAATGAGTGCAAAGGTTAGTATCACGGGTCTTTCACCAATTGACATCTGTTTTTAGATGTAGTAAACCCGTGTGTTATTCTACTGTCAGCGCTACTTGAATTTAACAAGTTTTTTATATGAGGTTGCAAAGCGCAACTCTACTGATCCCCATCAGGATGAATGAAATGGCACTTTCCCTGCAAATACGCAAATCGATGCATAACAGCCTGAGTTAAGATTAGAGCTGATTAACTTACGTGTACAGAGGCAAAAAGTACCACACTCAACGAAACGGAAATAAAGATACCTACGTGTTTCTTCAATGCCTCGTCTCAAGAACATTGGCAGTCCAGAAACACCCAGCAAGCGCAGTTGTAAAGCTAGGCCTGTTTCTAGCGGAGGGCATAACAAAAGGGGGGTTGAAAACACAACTCCTCGATTATTTCTTAGACTCTCAAACTGTGTAGTGCAACGCCGACTCCAAACGGAATAAAAAGTGAGTAACGAATGCAAGCCAAATGTAGAAAACGTAATTAACAACTCAATATTACAAAAAAGCAGAATGTTTGAAACGTAAATGAGAAACCGATGGTTGATCAATTAGCACTCGCCGCGA